GGGTAAATACGCCTACACATTTTTTTTTGTAATATTTAGTAGCTTGGGGAAAATATAAATAAGACCACGTGGGCTAAAGTCTTATCTTTTGCCTCTACATGGATGCTTAAGAAAGAAATGGTCAGCTGAAATAAGCAACTATGGTATTTAAGCATTCGAAAATGTTAAACTAGGCAAAAAAAAAACAGTTTTTGTCATCTGTAGTGTATTATGTGCAACTTTTGTTCTATTCTTAATAGACGGGAAATAATAAACATCAAAGTTACTATCAAAGTTATGTTTTGTCTTTGTCGCAAAGCGGTCACACTCAGTCTCTGTGTTAATATACGCAATCATCATTATAGTTTAGAAATAAAAGAGACTTATGCCAGGTGTAGTAATAAATACAAGGTGAAGTATTCGTTTGACACCGACTTATTTGAAAATTGCGTGCAAGGACATACATATCGCACGTTTAATAATATATAGAGAATTAATTCAAAACTTACGTTTTTGGAGATTTCAATTAATATGCTTGATAAGGAGAATATGTTTAGTCTAACAGATATTTAACAGATATCGTTAATCGTTCCATTTTCTGGAAGAGTGCGTCATAACATACGCTCCCTTATAGGGAATTTACATGATTCAACTTTCACAGGCGATTAGTTGAACCAAAAGTTGAACGAAAGTAGGGAGCCGACCAACTTCATTGTAAGCGATTAGTTGAAAGGCTGTTTACACCAGGCGATTGTTGCTTTCAACTAAAAATGGCCTGAAAAATCGCCTCATGTAAATTCCCTATTAGTAAAAATTAAGACAATGAGCTATGGTAAATCGATATAGCTATGCAATTTTTAGACAACATAGAATAAGAGGGCTAGTCCCTTTCTGCATACTTAAATAAATGTTTTTTTTTTTTTTGATTATGACACCGTTAATTCCTAGAAAAAAGTGTATGTATTTTCAACAGAAAAACTGTAACCTTCCAAAACGAAGAGATTTTTCGAATGTTGGGCAAAAAAATGTCTTCAGAACGGAAAGGTTAGGAGGTGCCATGAATCGCTAGAGTCAAAAAATATAAAAGGAAATTTGTTTTTCAAACTTCAACTGTGCAGTTTCAACTGAACATCAACAATTTTACGTTTAATAAATGCTTATTGCGCCACCTAAATTTTCAATTGTCAGAAAGCTTTTCGTAAATAAGTTGGCCTCAAATGAACTGCATATATTGATAAATGCGACATATGCTGAACTGCAGCCAGGCACATTAAATTAAACAGGTTTCGTTTGGTCTCTATACTGTAAAATATTGTTAATTTTTTCCGCAAAAAATTTTAATTGGCAAAATGTGCATATGAATCTTCACAAAAAGCGATTGAAAACCAGCCTTTGGAATGTTCGCTTAACTCAGGAGCATAAACGCTGATTAGTGGGCCCTGCAAAGGATGTATTGATGATTCTTGAATGAAACAAATTTACAAAGAAAGGAAGTCACACCCAATTTTAATTTTTTTTTTTTATATTTCACATCGCTCACAATGATATTTGAAAGTAGAATACTTTTTTTGACCATTTAGATACCAGAAGCAACAACAAAAATACACGTAAATATTGCTTTTGCTACTACCGGTTTCATATGCCTTGACTGCAGCCAAAAAATTCGTTGAAAAGACTAATTAGTCGACAAATGGGGGGGTTCGATGAACTTTAGTTGGTGTGGCAGCACACTTTTATGATAGAAAAAAGAAACAAGATTGATAAAATACTTGCCACGAAGAAACGTACGATGACAATGGGTGTGGCCGTTGTTCTGCGCTAGCTATTTACGTGAAAAAGCTTCCAATC